AATAATTTAATTAAATTTTTATTTTCAGTTGAAAAAGATATACCTTAAATTTAGCTTTTAACAAAATCACTTAATCGAAAAAAATAAGGCATACTTACTTATTTCAAATAAAAAATCTATCAGATCTAGCCATATTATCAATTTCTATGCTATGTTCTTCTAAAAGGACTTTTTCCTCATGACTAGGCATAAACTTCAAAAGCTTTAAAACAAGAATAATGATATTAAATAAAAAATTACAAGAAAAAGAGTAACATACAGGTTGCTACGTAATTTCTGTACTTTATAAATAGTTTTAAAATTCTTGCAAAAATGAAGTAAAAAAAATATATGCAATATGAGTTGCAACTTAAAATTTACAGTGAGGTAAAATTACAGTGAGGTAACTTAAGTGGTGAAAAAAATCAGTATTGCTTGAGAAATTTTTTGAGGGAGATAGATGAATTAAACAACATTCTGAAAAAGATCCTTGGCATCAAGCAATGTACTGTAAAAAAAATTTCTTCTGGTGCGTTATTATACAAAATGGCCACCATACAGCTTTTTTTTTTGTACTGATGACTTACTTCTTGAAGGGTGTATGACTGGACAAGTAGCACAGCGAATTTTTAAGTTAGAATGAAAAAGCCGTTTTAATTTACCACAGTGTAAGAAAACATTCCCTAGAACAATCACTAAAAAAACAGTTTATAGCAAGAAAACAATGCAATAAAATAATTTGAATTTCTAAAAAAAAATCTATTGTCTCAATTATTACAAAAATAACAATTTATAAACTCTAGATCTAATTTTATTTTAATGTTTTTGGAAATGACAGACATAGTTACATTTCATGAGGAAAAAAAATTAAGATAAATTTTCAACTAAAATGGTCAAAAGAACCAGTAGCTGATGGGTTAACCAGGGGCCTCAATCATTAGAAATTAATTTAAATTGATTATTTATTTAGTTATAATGCAAAAAATTATTACAATATTCAAATATTCAAATTCAAAAAATTATTACAATATGCAAATAAGTAAACTTAATTTGCAGAAACATTAAAAAAAAGAACATTTAAGAAAAAAAGCTTATTGTTATAAACTTAAAAACAGTCAGACTGATTAGAAAATATCAGAGAATTTATAGCAAATAATTGAATTTTTCGATTGACCTATGACATATGAAACCTACAAGGGAAGAACAGTTTAAGCGAAATGAGAAAGCTGATACAAAAAAAGATGATTTTGCGTGTGGAAAGGTAGGGTTTTTGCATAGTACCATCCTTCGTCACTGTGTAATAACACCCAGAAAGAGACTATTTTTCACATGATTACTTTGTTAAAACTTAGCAATGCTCAAAATGCAACAGATGGAGATCCAAGTATCCTTTTTTGAGAAAAATTGATTGAAACTGTTCTTCTCCATATACATACTTATATATAAAGATCAATTATCTGCTCAACCATATCTTTTGGTAACTGTTCCTTATTATCCATACTAAAAATTGTTCTACAAATTTCTTCATTTGAGAGTCTTAATTTTGAAAACAATATTGTACAATTTTGAACATGCCTACCATCAATGACAGAGAGTTCTCTTGATTTGGCTTTTTAGTCACCACTGCTGGTATATCTTCTATAACTGAACCAATGCACTACAAATTAATAACAAGTACTTAAGAAAAGCATAATAGGCATTCATTTAAAATATGCAAAATGTACACTAGGGCGTATCGAAAAAATCGAGATTTCTTAGATCTTTCTGCGGTAGTGTGGAAAAGATGTGAATTCCTATTATTAAAAAATGAGCAGAATCTTAAAACTCTGGGTTGATATCTTCTGTTGCCTCAATGGGCCTAAAGTTCCTAAAATTCGACTGAAAATAATTAAAATACAAAAATTAGTACTTAACCACAGATTTTGTTGATCGGTTTGAGGTAGCACTTAAAAGTTACAATATTTAAAAAACAACAACTATAAAAAATTTTAGAATTACAGATTAATATCTTCTGCCGCCTCATCGGCATCTAATTTTGGAAATTTCGACGCATTTTGGTACTTTTCTGTATAACTGTTTACTGCTTGCACAATGCACAATCGAGANTATCCTTTTTTGAGAAAAATTGACTTAAACTGTTCTTCCCCCTTAATATACATACTTATATATAAAGATCAATTATCTGCTCAACCATATCTTTTGGTAACTGTTCCTTATTATCCATACTAAGAATTGTTCTACAAATTTCTTCATTTGAGAGTCTTAATTTTGATAACAATATTGTACAATTTTGAACATGCCTACCATCAATGACAGAGAGTTCTCTTGATTTGGCTTTAGTCACCACTGCTGGTATATCTTCTATAACTGAACCAATGCACTACAAATTAATAACAAGTACTTAAGAAAAGCATAATAGGCATTCATTTAAAATATGCAAAATGTACACTTATATAATATAAATGTATACGTTTATAATAGCTCTTAATTTTCTGTAATGTAAGGATAGATCAAAGAGACTGATATTTTTTTAAAGAAAAGGTTGAGACTTGTTAATTAGGGTGTGTTTAAATTTTTTTTTTTTTAAAATTTTGAAACCTAACTAATATAGAAAAGCTGCTTCAAAGAAAAACTGATATGACTAATTTTCACAAACCAAACGTAATAATCTTTTAAAATTAACAATAATGTAGAGTAATTCCTATTTCTTTACTACATATACATGTGTACGTATATTTCACCACAGCTTTCAAATTAGAAATAAACAGAAAATCTCAATATTTACGATCGTTCAAGAGTTATGCACTGAGAATAAATTTCAGTAGAAACTAGTTAAAGTGTTAAAAGGAATATTACCTATGAACAAACACAAAGAAATTGAGAAAAAAAGCACAGAATATATTTTTAATTTTAATCTAAGTTTAATTTTATACATTAAATCCAATGCAATCAGAGAAAAAAATTATTTTACTAATTTTTATGAAAATGTTACCTGCTGTTTTTGATAAGCACAAAATGTCTTATCAAATTTTTGTAAATCAATATCTTTGTACAGTTTTCCCAAACGGTTCAAATAACATTGGTTATACACTTATGAATTATTTTTTTGAAATGTATATTAATAAGCAAGTTTGTTTTTCTTACTTCTGGTAGTTTACACCAATTAAAGGATTTCAAAGGATTTGATGGCTGAGGAATATTTTTAGACATCACTCTTGACAAATTTAAAGGTTTGTCACTTAATGAGCCTAAAAAATTATTCATACAGAAAATAATCACAATAATTAATCAAAGAAGACACAAAAAAACATAATATTCAATAAAATTTCTACAAATAAAAACAGTTGAAAAATTACCATACTAAAATATTTGTTCAGAATTCACTTGACCCTATAAGCATTGAGCTCCTTGGTAATATTGTGCAAAAATTTCCTAGCTA